CCATGCAAATCTCAAAAGTACCCCTTTGATGAGGCCAAGAATGGCAAATGAAGGGCATTTAAGAGATGCCAAATGAGACTAAACCCAAGCCATTACATCCCCCCATGCACATCTCCTCAAGCCCTAGGAGATCTTTGCAATTTCTGCTCATTGGGGGGTGCACCAATGTCAAATCGTCCCCAAAAACTAGTTTTTTAGCATCTGAAACTGAACTGGCGCCAGGCCTTTGATGTCTAGGCACCACCCAGGTGGACCCTACTTTCTCAAATCTCAGAAAAAGGCTATTTTCAGTTGTTTTGGGCGCCTAGGCGCCCAAGCACCAGACTTCCAGGGACTTAGCTTTGACCATATGAGCGGGCATTTTAAGGTCTAGCCCCGAAAACCCAGATTTATACTGAGAGCGCCTGACGGATGATTTTCTTGATCCAAAAGCTATGGGAGATCACATATGAGTAAATTATGATCCCATAATCTCAAAAAAGAGTATTTTGCTCGTCCATTGATCGAAAAATCTATCGCCAATGGGCGCTCCGGACTACGGTGCGGGTAGGGCGTTCCAAACCCTAATTTTCCCGTAGCGTGCATAAGAGGGCTCCATTACTTCCCTTGTCCCCGGGGAGGCTCTGAATGGATACAGAGGGACACCAAACATGTTCAATGTCCTAGGTGAGTCGGTCCAACTGCAAGTTCTACCGGGTGGGGTTCAAAACCTGGTTTCATGCCCCGAACACATATAGAGATCTCAGATGGGTGACTTGAGCTAAGGGAAGTAACAAGTGAGCAATGAGTCGTCCCGAGCCATTCAAGCGGACACCATATACGCGTAACATCAAAAATTGACGTCAACAGTGTTCTTGACTTTAAAGGAAAATGGGATGATCACATCCCAACGATCGAGTTCGCCTACAAGAATAGCTAGTAATCTAGAAGTGAAATGGCTCCTTATAAAACATTGCATGACAAGAAATGCAGAACTCCATTAAGTTCAGTTGAAGTGGGTGAATGTCAAATATAAGCCACAGACAAAATCAGGTTAAACAAGGACAAATTGAAAGTTGATCAGGATCGACAGCTGAAAAATTATGACCCACAACACAAAGCATTAGAATTTGAAATTAGTGATTTTGTGTTTTTAAAGGCAATGTCAAAGAAAGGTACAGTCAATTTGGTCAGGAAAGTAAGTTGAGTATCAATTACATCGATCCTTTTGAAATTATAAAAAAAAATAGCTTAGTTGCTTACAAATTAGTTTTACCTACCAATATGTCAAATGATAATGATGTGTTTCACATCCCAATGCTGAGAAAATGAGTTTAAAATCCAACCAAAGAATTTCACATAAAGACATTGTAGTACAGAAAATTATAATGTATATTGAAGAGTATAGAAAAAGTTTAGAAACTGATTTTAAGAAATTGAAGTAAAGACTAATTCATTTTGTTAAGATAAAATGGAAGCACATACCTGAAAAAGAAGCTACTTGTGAAATACATGAAATTCGACAAAAATATTCTTTCCTATTTAAGTAAACTCAAAAATTTCTACAATTTTTATGGTGGAGTTGTAACACCCAAATTTTGGCAATTTTAGGGTATACGCTAAATTTTGTATCTCTCAGAAAACAACCGAGTCAAATTTATAAAATTTTACATGTCGAATCAATCATTTTAATATATAGCACCACACATGAATTTTTAATATATTAGAAGAAATAAAATTATGAAACAAATTTTAATTAAACTTAAAAAAATTCCTTATTTAAACCTTAATTCCACATCATTACTGTAGCCACCACCACTCCTACGCGATTCTCAGCAGTGGGATGGTTCCGAACGGATGAAATCCAATGGGATCTCATTAAATGCCATGTCCTCACTTCCTGTCCCGAATTCTCACTCACATGAGAAACTTCGCTCTAGCACTATAGCAGGCGCGGCCGGCGCATCCCGTAGGGAGCCACAAACGGAAATTTCGAGCTTCAAAGTGAAATCGGTAAAAGGAAACATGACTTTTATGATATTATGTTTTTGTTTTGATGTTTGCCGCAAATCGGTGTGCTTTCTCGTTTCCCTGTCACTGCAGTGAGGAGACAGTTTCGGAAGCCGCGAACTTGATTTTGGCTTTTGGATTGGGTCGTTAGCAGGAAATCATCAAAGAGAAGTGAAAGGAAATTAAGAAGGAAGAAATAGAAAAACCTTTAGGGAGAATTTATGCAAGGAAGCCCGTTTGAGATAAGTTTTGGCAAATAAAACATGTTCAAAGTTAAGATCTACACCAAGAATTTGATGAATTTATGAGAGAATTATGATTCCAGGTTGTTTGCAAAAGGTGACAAACTTAAGGAAATTTATCATAGGGCTGCTCCGTCGATTCAGGTGAAATAATGATGTGCTAACTAAAGAAAAATAATTTTGTGGGATTTCATGTAATTATATTTTTGACACTTGCATCTAAAATTTTTTCTATTGAGGATGAATACTTGCATAAATTGTATGAATGAAAATTTGATTTATCCCTTACGAAACATGATTTTACTATAATATAAATTTGATGAATATGCTTATGAAATTATTATTTGTAAGTATTCATTTACAATGATTCATGCATATGATATATGAAATATTTATAATAAATGTTTGTTATAGAAATTATGATCTAAAAAATATCATGAGTTCTGTTATAGGTAGAATATTAAATGAAAATTTAAATTATGGATGATAAGGAATGATGGTGTTCCTGACTCCTAGTATTCAGATGAAGATGAAACTCCATGTAACGTTAGAATCAAACAGCGACAGAACGTAAGAAACCATTGATATCAGAGGGGTTACTGATAACCGTTATTTGGGGAGCCCAAATTTTATCAATAGTTAATGTGGCATTTGGGTTGGATCATGACCCAATGACATGACAAGACATAACATCAAAATAGTTGAGGTATCTACAGTTACAAATAATATTTCTATGATTATATTGATGACTCTTATGAATATATTTATTATTACACATAAATGGGTGAAATAAACATTATATACAACAGTCATGATTCTCTGCGTTACATGGCTTTTCTTTTATATATTTTATATGACTATAGCATGTTGTGACATGTGTTATAAATACGTATATGAATTATATATGAGAATGCACATGATTTCTTTTTTATCTATAAAATTATTTTTTGGCCTCAATTAATTTGTTGAGCTCATTGTCGCTCACTTCATGTAGTTGACTTTCAAAAAGGGATAAAGAGCACTAGGGCGAGTAGTCATATTTGACTTGTACAGCTTTTGTATTTCATAGTTTATGAAATTTGTATAGACTTTTGAATATGTACTTTTACTATATTGAATTTAGTAACTCTCTATAGATATACATCTTTTGAAGATGAAATTTTCCACGCTTCCGAGTATATGTAAATGTGAATGAATCATGAAATGAAATGTATCATGTACATTTGTGGTGATTTAGTGAGACTGGTGCATCACCCATTGAATCCTGATTTTGTAATTCATGACTGATTTTGCAAGTCAAGATAAGTGATGGTGAGAATTTAGTCTGACCGAATCCTCCACCTCTTTCTTCGCAGCTAACCCTTAACTGGGGAGCAGTTGGGGTGTGGCAGTATCATACAAAGCAATGTAATAATATAAAGAAAATCCCCTTTATGAGTTTCATGCATTATACATGATTACTTATCATCATCACTTGCCTTATCCCAACAATTGATGATGCTGAAAGTGTGAAAGAGAAAGAATATTAGGACAGTAAACATAAACTCAGCGAGAAAAGATACCATGCAAGATGAGAAGAGTCGATAACAAAGAATAGGCCTAGAGAAAAACAAAGAGGGTCCCACAATAAGAAGCAGCCAATAATATCAAAATAAGTGCTTCAGCCTCACAAGAAAAGATGGTGAAGAAGTCTTTGAAAGCAGAGAAACTGCTGGGCAGTAAAACAGTAAAAGAGGATGATTAGAAGTAAAAGAAAGAAAATCAATGTAGAAATTTAGAAAAACAATGCAGATAAGTAGACAGATACCAGGATTACAACAGAAGAAACAAGAAAGAAAATAGGAAAATTGCACCATAAAAAGAGCAATCTGTATGTGTTCGTATATTTGCAAGTGATTTTTCATTTGTGTGTGTGTGTGTGTGTGAGTGTGAGAAAGAGAGAGATAGAGGGAGAGAGGGAGAGAGAGAGAGAGAGGGAGATAATTTGATTGTTCATTTGTGTGTGTGTATGTGTGTGTGTGTGAGTGTGAGAAAGAGAGAGATAGAGAGAGGGAGAGAGAGAGAGAGAGGGAGATAATTTCCATCTTATTTTGGCTCATTCCAATAAGCATATGCTTTCACCAGCAGCTGCCTCCTCCCTCTTGCCTGCCTCCTACCTCTTGCTCTATTCTTCCACCCTGCTTCTCAAAGTAACTTCCAAATTCATGCTCTCTCCATCCTCCCTATTCCTCTTCCACCTCAGATAGAATATCTTCTCCAAAAATTATAGACCAGTTATTCTCATTTTTTTCCCTCCCTACAATATATTTTATTGTAACAAAAGTTACTGCAGCTATCTGAGGTGGACAACATTAAAATATAGGCGCTAGATATATGTGATTAGAAACGGAGCTCCAATTTTAACTCAAATATGAATTAATGAACCGGCAGCATGTGGCTATAATTCTCTACTGAAAAGTGCAGCTCTAGAAAGCTGCAATAATTTATTATTGATTGAATGTAGTTAGTTATAGGTTTGAATAATGCTGGATACACGTGAACATATCCAACATAAGGATGTACTAAATAAATAAAAACATACATTGACCTATCGTGAGAATTACTAATAATGAATGGGCAAACAGACATATGAGGAAATAATCATACAATAATATTACAAGCTTCATACATTCATCATATAAGACAATAGAAAGTTAAGATTAAGAATAATGCCAGGTGTGAAGAATGAAATTAACTTCAAAAAATCAGTATAGAATAAGCTCAAACTACCTCAACATGTGCTTCTGAACTCACATCATTAGCATACTGAATAAGATCAAGCTCCAATTTAGATTTTATAACTCGGCATATATAGGATGAAGAGTGATTAAATCAGTCTCAAACTTCTCAATCTCCTGCAAATAGTCGTGACAGCAGAATTCAGATTAGTCAAAACAGCAAGGATTTGGATGTATGGAAATGCATTGAAAATTAGAAATATTATTAGGACAAGAATTGGATTCAATTCATGAAAACCTGTTATAACTGGCTGAATTACCAACTTATTTTTTCAGCAAATATTCAATAGCCGAATATGCTGCTAAATGACCGGCTCTAGCTAAATAGGCTGAAAATTCAGCCCGTAAAATGTAACGGCAGAAAAAACTGAGCGTCGCTTTCAACAATTGATATTGTTTGATTAGTGACTGAAATTTTAGCCGACAAATTTAACAGCTGAAATGTCAGGTGATAATTAGTTGAAAAGCTATATCAAATTGAATCCAAGCGCAAAAAACTTCATTTTTCTTCCCTCTCCCTATGTTCTCTCTCACGGCAAGGCCCTCAACAACGACGGTCATGCTAGGCTCAAGCAAGGAATCCAATGCTTGAGGAAGGTAACTCTCATATTTCTCCCTATTCCTTCATTTCTCGCTTAATTATCTCCCTCGCCGAAGCAGTTTTCTTCCTCTGCATGAATTTCATGGCTCGCAATCTCAGCAAGCAATCCAAATATAAAGCTTAATTCCTATGTATTTACATATGCAACACTGAACTTCAATTTTAACAGCCATGATTTCCTATTTATAGTTAGGGTTTAGTTTAAATACATTTCACTCAATTCCTACGTATTTGCATATCTAAAACCTAAAGTTCATTTTTTACATACAAACCTGTTACACCGGTGCCTATGGGCCATTTATTCCTTTTATTAGTAATTATTGTGGGGTATAAATAGGGTGTATTAGATTTAAGGTTAGGTTATATTATGAGATTGTTGTCTTGAGTCTTAGGATTACGGTTAGGGTTAGGGTTAGGGTTTAGGTTTGGGATTGTGTTTGGGTTTGGGAGAGATCGCCTACCTCTTGAATTGTAGGTGCTTATCTTTATGTATTCGGATTGTGTTGTTTGTATTATTGTAGAAAATATTTGTTTGCCTTGATTTCTATGAAAATTTATCTCCGATTCATATCAAATTCCTATCAGAACACTCGATCTCAGGGAAACAAAGACGAAATTGTGACATACAGAAATCCCACGTTGATACAATCAAGAGCAAGCTGAGAAGCCAATGACAGGATGGTGACCATATAAGAGTTCTGCATCAAACCTAAATATAGTCACGAGAAGCCAAAGATGGGATCGTGGCGTGTTGCATCGTGCCCTAGTTACCGAACTTTGCTATGCAGTCTCAATTTGAGTGACCTAGGAAGTATACAATTGCAATTTGAGTGAACCGAAAAGCCAACGACAGATCGCTGCATCATCATGGGACCGAGCATCGCAATACAAATCACGATCGGAGCTAGCTAGGAAGCGAAGGGATCATGATATAGTCCAGATCAATGAGGACTCTAACCATAACATCGCGATTTGAGGTAGCTGGAAGAAACAATGTCATGACCCGACAGGGGGGGGGGGGGGGGGGGGGGGAATTAACCAATATGGGTACGAACTATGAGACGGTGGAAATCAACTCTCTTCTAGTTTATTTTTATCACTAATAGTTTAATATTCAAATGTTCATGAAAGAGCTACTGAAGAAAGCAATTTAATTAACAAGTAAAAATTTATATATTTTCTATTGTTGTTCTCGCCTTCTATACATATTTGTTCATCTTCTATTTATCTTGTTCAAAAGCTTAAAGTCTAAAAAATATTAAAGCAACATAATAAGTTATCTAAAGATGATACAGAAGTAATCACATTTATAAACTACAATAACCCAAGAAAGGGAGATCAATATGCATGTTGGTCTTTCATACCTCTACATGAAATATTATAATATGTCAGTCTTTCATATTTTTATAAGAAGTGTTATACATACACCATACAAAAGTAAATATCGCGGGGTAAGTAGGTTGGGTACAGTAACAACGGTATTAAAAAGAGGTAATTAGAGTTAATTAAAATTAATTAAATTTATAACTTTTGATTTTTATATATTCCAATTTATTCATAATTTATATATAGTATTATATATAGAATTAATTGATCAGACGAGTATAATTTTATAAAATTATTTTGATTGCAATCTGAGGGAAGCGAAATTTGAATTACATTTTAAGTCCCCAAAATTTTAAGTTGATTTAACAAAGCTGGTTATTACAAATGAAAGGATTGCAGCGTACCATTGTGACCAAGAATCGTGGGACAGCCGCAATGTGAGCGAGTTGGGTAGCAACAACGGGATTGCGGCATACAAGGCACTGAACCGCATGAAATAATCTCCATTCGAGTTAGTTGGGAAGCCAGAGACGCAATAGAGGCTTACAATCTGGGAAGCCACAGGATCACTGCTTACGACCTCGTTGTTCAGTTGAGATTCATGCAACAACGAGAACACGACATACAAGAGTTCCACTTCCGTGATTGAAAACCGTCCTGGAAGTAAGGTCAATCAAAATTTAGACGCCCTGATTACAATAACGAAGCCAAATCAAATAAAAAATGGAGGAATATTTCTCGTCTATGGAGGGGCGACTCTTGTCTATGGAGCGGAGATCACGGAGCTGGAAAAAAAAATAATAAAGAGGATCATGGAATTTCACACAAAACTGCATGCAATGGATCCAGTGACAACACCGAGTATGAATGCGAGTGACGACACTTGGAAGAAATATCGAACATTCGGAAGGCGGGAAGAAACGGAAGCAGGCAGGATCGAGCAAAGGAGTCGGAAGTGGATCTGAGCGATGGCATCTTGAAGGAATTACACAGCATATGGAGGTTTGGAACAGGAGGCAACAGGTAGTACGAGACAGCAAGCAATTCGGGTCTGAAGAATATCGATTTGAAGGATTCTGGCATAGAATAGAAAACCGCAGAGGGTTGCATCAAACCGCGCCACGACCTTTTACTTTGGCAACCTTCCGGGCGAAAAACGATTCAAAAGTAATGATGAGAAGGGGCGAGTGGAGAAAAGCAGGGAAGTTTCTAAGTGATTGATTATGACACTGCAGAGTATTCAAAAGGGAGAAAAAATGGGGACCCTAATATGTGCAAAACCTTGGTGTCAACAAATCCATCAAAAGTAACAGCTATATTGGAGTGGGGTAACTTCCCAAAACCATGAAGAGGTTGAGAGAATTCTTGGACCTTCCAGGATACAATTAAAAGTTCGTGAAGGCTTGTACTTCGAATGTGGCGACCCAAACTTTTGAGAAGCTAAATAAGATCATAACGATTGTACTAATACAGGTGTTACCAAACTTCAACTAACCTTTCATTATAGAGATAGATGCTACAAGCTAGGTGCAGTCCTCATGCAGTGTCAAAGTTCCATCACTAATTTTAATCAAGTGCCGACGGCGAGAGTCAAACTAAAGTCAGTTTATGAGTGGGAGTCATATGACTTAATTCAACAGTAGTTTTATTCTTTCCCACCTTGCGAACAAGATGTATTTAAAAAGGAGAGTAATGTTACACCGACACCTGAGAACAATTTAGTCCTTTTATCAATTATTATTGTGAGGAATGAATAAGGCTTATTATGCCTAGGTTTAGGGTATGCTATGAGATTGTTGTCTTCAGTCTTAGGGTTGAGGTTTGAAAAAGATCGCCTACCTCTCAAATTATAGGTGTTAGGGTTGAGATTTGGGAGAGATCAAATTCTAGGTGCCTATCTTTATATATTTGGAATGTATTGTTTGTGTTATTGAAGAAAATATTTATTTGCCTTAATTTCTGTAAAAACTTTTCTTTGATTCATATCAATGTCACACAATTCCTATGTATTTTGCAGACGTGCCACAAAAGTCCTACGCTATTTTTGGTGTGATATTGAGAATTTTAGTGTTATGTGTGTAAATATGAAAGTTTAGTATGAGATGTGTGATTACATAAAGAATGTGTGCTATGTATGTAATGCCCTTTCTTGTAAGAGTCAGAAACATTTGCATACATGCTACTCAATTCCTATGTATCGCATACTTTAGCGACTTTGACTGATTGAAACTTAAGAAATTTACATACATAGCACACAATTATAATGTATTTATCTATCTCACACCTAAACTTTCATATTTACATACATAGCAATTTGGTGCTTTAGACCTATGTATGAAGAGATGTGTTCCACTAATTTTAAAAAGGGTATATGTTTGCTATTTTTGGTGTGATATTAAGGATTTTAGTGCTATGTGTCTAAATATGAAAGTTTAGGTATGAAGTGTGCAAACATATAAGAATTGTGTTATGTATATGAATGCCCCTTTCTTGTTAGGGTTGGGAACATTTTCATACATACCACACAATTCCTATGTATTTACATATTTTTGTGACTTTGACTGCTTTAGAGTTGAGAAATTTACATAACTAGCACACAATTCTTATGTATTTTCAAATCTCACACCAAAATTTTCATATTTACAAACATAGCAATTTGGTGCTTTACACCTACGCATGAAAGGTGCATTTCACTAATTTTAAAAAGAGTTTAAGTTAGCTATTTTTTGTATGATATTAATAATTTTAGTGTTATGTGTGTAAATGTGTAAGTTTAGGTATGAGAAAAGTGTATAATTTAAATTGTGTGAATTCGATACGTATAAATGTATATTTGAAATTTATCTAGAGCCCTGTATTATATTGTGATGTTTGTTATATGCACACTTTTGTACCGATAATCATCATTAATATTAAAAGATTTCAAGTGTATTATATGTTTTGCAATGATTTAGAAGAAATAACTTTGTATGTACTCAAGTCTTAAGTAGTAAAAGTCAAGATGAGTTGTAGGTCAAAGATCAGTCTGAATGTGTGTTATATCCATAACTTCATTTGGCCAATCAAAGCTTTTGAAATTTTATGAAACTCAAAAATCAACTAGAAATATTTACTCCATTATAGGGATGTGCATTATTTGGTCAAAATCGAAAAATTGAACCAAATAGATCAAGTTCGGTTTTAAAATTGG